CCCCAAAACCCCAAAACCCCAAAACCCCTCTTATTACTTTTAGTATAGAATGTTCATTGCTATAAAATCAGTACAACCTCTTTCCTCAATTATCCCTGTAAAACCTGTATCCTAAACGACCCCACATAGCTTAAAAATCTTACTGTACTCAAAATTCCTTTTAAGACTTAAATTTTCTCACTGAGGAGCCCGGGCTCTTCAGTAAGAAGAAATAGGGCGAATGAAGTGAAAGACCATAAGATTTGTAGTGGCTAATGTTTTTACCTTAAGCAGCCGATAATAATTTTAGTGCCACATCAATGTCAAATACTTGGAACTCCCTCTCTTCTAAAGAGGCGTAGAAATCAGATTCATCAAACTGGGAATCATCATCTGCAATCTCATTCTCTTGCTCAGATTGAGATGAGGCAGCATTGTCATCTTTGCGAGGTGAGGATTCATCGTCATCTTTTTGAGAAGAGGGTCCAACTTCAACATTTGGAAGTAAAGAAACATTGTGGTCAGGCTCATTTACTTCGACTTTTACTTTAACTTGAGATAGTTTAAGCAATTCTTCTCTGTCTGAATAAAGCTCTTCTTCTCTCAAGAGATCCTTATGCATAGCTTTTATGTCTCTTTTTCTTCTGTTTATGATTGAATCAAGAGTCTTTTCCTTCTCACATGTTAATTCATCCTGGCTAATATTTAGGTCCTAAATATTAATAAGTAAACTAAAATAGGTACCTCAGTCCTTTTTGTTGGTTTTCTCTTGTTGCTTCTCTTTTTAGTAGATGCCAATACTATTTCATGACCAGTACCTGTTTCTGCAGGGATCTCAGCCCCACTGGAGTCTATTGTAATCAACTCTAACTTGTTAATAATTTTGCTCTTCTCTGTGAATCTCTTAAGCAAAAAGGCACTGAAAAATGAAAAACTTCTGAATTTTCTCAGTCTGGCTAGCTCTCTCATAATCACAGGTGACTCATCATCAATCTTGAGGATTCTGTCTTCCACCCATGCCACCATAAAGAAGGTCAATTTTAACTGGAGAATGAAGTTTTTGTGTTTAAATAATCCTTTTCTTAACTCTTTCTTGTAGATTCTTTCTTCTTCATATATTAAAGTCATGAGATAAGAGAGCAGAGTTTTAAATAAGATAGTATTCACCAGTGAGTCTTGGGCCGTATGTCTCAGAAATATGATGATAGCTTCAACTTCCTTTATGAATGGGAATCTACAAATAACAAGCTGGTTTAGAGTGTTTGGGATTAGTGAAGGATCTTTCTCAAATTCCAGAATAATGTTCTTGAAATTCTCCTTTTCTTTGTACTCAATCTCAACATTTCCAAGAGATTTGAAAATAAGGCTTTCTCAAATTGCCTGAATGTTTTCTTCAGATAGATATAAGTTCAGTCTACCAAGACCAGATTCTCTTAGCATGAACGGGTGGAATATATCGGGATTATATGGATCATTTGAATGGTTCTCCTTATATTCTTTAAATTTCTGATCAAACTCATCTCCGTTTGGCATCTTTAAAGTGCCAATTGTTTTAAAGAGAGTTGAGAGTGTGTCGTTGTCGTCTGCAACATTGATGAATATGCTATTCCAAAACTCGTTATAAATCCATCTGTACATTCCTCTGTAGGTTTCTACCATTTGTCTCAAAGGAGGTACGAACTGAGAGTGAGAGATAGTGTTCCTGATCTTCACTGCTTCTTGGGGAAATTTTATGCTTCTTGCAATCTCAACCATGCTTAATTTATTTCCTTGATAATTCTTCTGGAAAGAGTCTGTGATTATATTGACAACTCTGATTACTCCAACAGATAGAGAGTCCTTCAGTGAATCATTACCTTTGGAAATATCATGAGACAGAAATTGGTAGATCTTCTTCGCGATTAAATAAGTTGCTTTAAGCATAGAGTTATTGGTCCTCTTTGACCACAGCTTGAGTAGCCTTCATGCTTCTTCAATTTTTCCTAAATTAGGTAGCAATTCTTGAAAATTAGGGTGCTTCTGCCTCCAGATTTTTTCTGGAAACAAGAATCTAAGATACTGAAACTCTGCTTCGTTTCTCCATGGGTAATTTGATGGTTTGAGGACTTCCATTTTTACAAAATATTTCAATAAAAACACTGCTTTTAGGGGTTTTGGGGTTTTGGGGTTTTGGGGTTTTGGGG